GCAAACAATTTTCTAGAAAAAAGAAGCAGCACATTACATTTGGTTCGAGTGCATGCTCATGCTTTTCTCAATAATATTCCAACGTAACAGAGTGTTGGATTCTAAATAAAGTGAAAATGGTGCCGGCATCTTCACTATCAACTCTCAATAAAGCACACACACATACTCCCTATACATTCTAAAAAGAAGTTAAGTTTTGTGAGTGCACCATGCACTATCTTTGGTTAATCAGGAGAGAAGACATAAGTCGAGCTACGGGTTCAGTTGAACTCAGTAATTTTTGTTCAAACAATATATTTGTGTTAAAAATTCATCAGATATGTATAAATATTAATTACTCAATCATTAGCATTTGAAGTTATCATTTCAAAATTCATAACCCGTAAGATTAAAATTCTAATTCCACCGCTAATCATAGGTGGACCTATGCAATAGGTAGAGGGGTCCTGGCACCTGTAAAATTCGGCAAAAATTTCATATATACTTGTATATGTCTTTAGAAAACAATAATATATTAATAACGGGCTTACTATATACAAAGTAATTTTAGTTGAATCAAAAAATACATTCGCAACCTTCAAATCCTGGGTCCTTGGCCTCTAACCCCATATCTCCCCCTTTTCTTTTTCATCATGTCAAAGATTGCTTTCTCTCCTTTTCATTTTCTTTATCCTTCCTAAACAAATCATCATGCAGCTTTATATTATCTTTTTCTTTTGCCTCACAGCCAAGCCCACTTTTTATTGGAAACTCTAAGCTTTTATTGGACAACTCTCTTTTAAAGTTTTTTACATGCTCTTTAAACAAATTAATACAGCTATTTGACTTATCTTTATCTCTCTTAATCAAAGTTTTCAGTGCTATTTTGTACATCATGATCCTTTACAATCTTAAAAATGAGAAAATGACCTTTTTAGATCTCTTGTGTTTAAAAGATAGATCTCTTACATGTAAAAATAAATTTTTTATGTGTAAAAAAAGAGGTAGAGCCATAAAATTTAAAACAAGTTAGTAAAGAGCCACAAAACCAATTGATCCCTAAAACGTCAAGTACTTTAAAACACATTCTGTTTATTAAAACGATAAATAGCATGGACCCGAAGTATTATTCTTGAATGTTGTCCAGTAGACGTTTAGAGTGTTAAAAAACTCATACATGGCCAAGTGCCCTTAGCTGCATGGTTCATCAATTCTTTCAAGCCCTACTATGGACTTAACATACTATAAATACTTTGGCTTTCTTCAAGATACATATTTGTGTATTTGTATTAGGATAAAGTTTTTACATTAGCACATACTGTCTACATCATACTTTTTGGGATGTAATTCTTTATTAGACCTACATGAATGCAAGATGTCTTATGCACCGAACTGCCTTTTTAGAGTTAAAGTTTAGCCTTAGGAGGGTAGGTTCTTGGAGGAAGAGCCATGGGTATAGCTAGCTTTCTAGAAGGCATAAGAAAAAATTGAAGATTCTGTAATTAAGAACACTAGATAATGGAAATCCCACATATTACTATTATTAGACTCTAAATTTAAGGGTAAGCATGTGCTTGTTAATGAATAATAACACCAACCAACAGATTAGGTTTTTCTTGGGCCCAACACCATTCATGAGACCTATGCATTCCAGTCTCCAGATATGCAATTCAAGACAACTCATTTTAGTTAGGCCAAATACATATACAACCCATTTAATTTGGTACCATTTTTCATTTTGGCATTCTATTTCTATTTTGTTCCATTTTGGTCCTTCTGCTCTATTTTTTATGTTCCATTTTGGCACTCCAACTTTATTTTTTATGTTCCACTTTAACACAAAAGCTGAAACCAGTGCAAAAAATATAGCGCGTGTGTATACACAAATCTGAGGTGTAATAAATATCCAATTAAATGTTGCCACCTAGTTTTTTCATCCATGTCAAACGGGTCAATACTAAAATGCCTGAACCCGACCGTATTTTTTCATCCACTTTTGCCCCATCTTCATTCTCAAAGTTCGAAAGGTTTCATCTGCCGACTTTATACCTGGCCATCCAGAAAATTTCAAACTTTTGCAATTTTATTGTTCGTTTATTTATTCTGATTATTTTTTTGTGGGTTTATTTAATCTAAGCTTGAAGTTTGAAGTGAATCCATGTCTCAAAGAAAATTATTTTTTCATAATGGAATGGATATTTATTCTTGTGGATTTCAAGTTGAACTGAAAGTATCATGGACACCAAGATATCCAGGTCGGTGCTTTTATGGGTGTAAATTTGACAAAGTAAGTGAACCATTTTCGAATTTCATTTTCAGTGTTTTCATTTTCTTGTGTATATAAGAAGCGGACTTAATTTTACTCAAATACGGCCGAGTTCAGGTATTTTAGTATTGACCCATTTGACATGGATGAAAAAACTAGGTGGCAACATTTAACTAGATATTTATTACACCTCATATTTGTGTATGCACACGTTTTTGCACTGTTTTAGCTTTTTTGTTAAAGTGGAACATAAAAAATAGAGTTGGAGGGCCAAAATGGAACATTAAAATAGAGTTGGAGGGCCAAAATGAAACAAGGTAGAGATAAAGTGCAAAATGAAAAATGGTGCCAAGTTGAATAGGATGTATATGTATTTGGCCTTTTAGTTATCTAAACCACATGGCTTTATACTTTAGCGAGACCAACATTAGAGACTTAGCTAGCGTTCGAACATAAATTTGATTGAAACTTGAAATAAGAGTTTTTAAAGTTATGTTGAAAGATAATTTTGAAAGTTGAAGTTTGTATTTGGACATGCATTTTATTTGAAAAAAAAATTGAAATTATGTGAGTGAAAAAAATTTTTATCCAAAAATTGCCCTAAACCAATTTTTGTGAACTTAAATTTATTTTTTTTAAAACTGATCATATTCATGAACAAACAATATTTTCAAAATAATTTTGAAAAAAACGTTACCAATATTTATGGCCAAATGGGAGCTTAACTAGTATTAACAACCATTATCTTCTGCTTTTCCTCTTTCTATTTCTTATTGTAGAAACGAAAATAATGATACTCGTAGTTTCATTATTTGAAGAGTATTGGACATGTTACCATTTTCTATCAACTTAGAGTTTTTTTATGAATATTATTTTATCTAATAGGTGTGCAGAGCTGAAGAAGTCCAAAACCTACAACTTTTTTAATGAAAATTAATGATGTTTCTCATTTTTATAGAGCATTGTCCGAAGATAAAGACACACAAACCAGTGTTAGGTCCTCCTTTTTATTTGATAAAAAAAGTAAGATCTATATCTTCAAGCAGAGATACTTCTAACCAGTAAAAACATGAAGAAGAAGAAGAAAAAACATAATGAGTTTCAGCAGCTGAAAGACGACTAAATACTAAAAACCAAAATTTGCAAATAATATAGTTAGTACCAGAATCTAAAGACAGATCACTGTTTCTTCAGCAGCATCATATTCCCAATTAATTTATTTCCCTACTCAGAACCATTTTCTCTGTTTCATTAATTAAATTAAATATTGAGCTTTTCCTTTTCACTTTTGCTTTTGTCTGAACTCTGTTTAATATATTCTAATAATCACTACTTAGTTGGATTGCTTGCTTTGAAATGGGAGCTAAGAATCTTTGAGGCCCTCAGACTATCTACTCACTTTTTGACTTGGCCAATGTATTTTTCTGACACTGTCATGTTTGGTAAAGTAACTCAGAAATTAGAACATCTGACTATCCTCTGTAGTAAATTCTTTCTCCTTAAGTGGAGTAAAACTATTTATCTTAAGAGGCAGATAAGGACTACTTCCCCCATCCCTGATTGGAGGCAGTTCTAAAAATGTCAATTTTACTTAAATCAACAATAGTGAAAAAAGTAAAACTCTATGATAAAAAAAATATCACATTAAAGTTTAGCCATAATAAATAAATTTTAATATTTAAAAGTTACTCTTTTTTTTCTTCAGCCGAGGGTCAACCAGTACTGAATTTGTTGTTGTTGTGAAAGGGAATTTTTACATACTTATACACTATTGGAAACTTTATTACTCTCTCTACTCAAGTTTCACTTTAATTACCTCCTATGTACAAGATTACACCAATTATGTACATTTTTAAGATTTAAGGATAATTAATCAATTCCTACAATCACTATGCAAATCCCACGTTTCTCTCTCCGTATCCCACTCAACCCACGTTTCTCTCTCCACATCCCCTTCCCCCACGTATCTTGCACAAGAGAGCAGCAATTCCACCATTGACAACCATTAAAAAGCTCTGAAGCTTTGAATTTAAATTTGGGTTTTCAGAAAATATTATTTGTTTGAATTGGGTGTTGTTGCAAAGAATTGGGATTCTCTTTACGTCTCTCTCTGTCTCTCAATCCCTAATTTCAGTAATGTAAATCTAAGTAAAAGAGAGCATCAATTCCACCATTAACAGCCATTAAAAAGCTTTGAAGCTTTGAATTCGAATTTGGGTTTGTAAAAAACCATTATTTGTTTGGATTTGGGTGTTGTTGCAAACAATTGAGAATATGGTTTGGAATTTATATCTCAATTTTGAGGGTGTTTTGGTGAAGATTAGACTTGATTTTGGCTGAATTTCAGATTGAAACTCGAAGAAGAAGAAGACATGACATACATTATACTGCAGAACTTGTAGTAAAGTTGTAGAAAAATTGTATTATGTTGTTTCTATATGTGGATTTGGGAGCCTTTTAAGGTGGATATTTGTAAACAAAACTTGTTTATGCTGGGTAATTAGCTAAACATGGACATTAAGGGTAATAAAGTTTCAAATAGTGTATAAGAATTGAAAAAAAATCCCTTGTGAAATACAATTTGATTGGGGACGAAGTTAAAAAATAAAAGATATTCCATCTTATATTACGTTGTACTGTTGTTGCTATGAGAAGTCATATTCCATACAGACAAACATGCACCAAAGGTAACATTTTGGCTGAAACTGCAGTTAGTGGCAGATCCACTTTCAAAATTTGAATAAACAGGAACATATTGCACGAGTCAAATGTTAAGGAATAAGATAAATTTGGATAATAACCATAAGATTCCAATACTGGAACCCGGTGAAAAGGAATCCGGCAACCATGGTAGCATAGACAAGCAATTACAAAAGTTGTAACTCAAAGGACTAAAGAAAGATGAACAGAAGGATTCTATAACAAATAGAGCTAAAAATTTCTCAAACAGCAAATTCCAACTTCGCTGAATAAATCAACCGGATTCTTCTTCGCCAGGATAACACATTGATAAATCATTTCTTACAATCTCCTATTTGTCTAGTGAACAATCATCAGACAAGTTCATCCTGGCCTTCTGAAGGACATCGGATCAGTTCCAATATGTTAACCACTTCTGCCATATCAGGCCGGTTAGATGGAACTTGTGATGTGCAGATTAATCCTAACTTCATGACAGGAATCACCTCATCTGCTGGAAATTTGCCCTGTAGCCTTGTATCTATACAATCTTTTACCCTGCCTTCTTCTAACGCTCCTCGTACCATGTCACACAATACTACCACATCGTCCTCCATATATTCAACTGGCCGCTTTCCGGTGACTACCTCCAGAATAAGAACTCCAAATCCATACACGTCACACTTCTCGGTTATCTTCACAGTTTTGCATGCGAATTCAGGTGCCATGTAACCAAGTGTACTCTGGATTTTGCTACTCAAAACATATCGATCTAGCATTGGTAACAATCTTGCTAAGCCATAATCTGCAACTTTAGGTTCACCTGAGCCATCAATAAGGATATTGCTGGACTTTAGGTTGTAGTGGATTATGTTCATTTGGTGCAAGTGAGCCAAGCTTTTTGCTGTCCCGAGAATGATGCTGAACCGCTCATTCCATGTGAGTAAACTCCCGCCAGATCCTTCATGGAGATGCTTAAACAAATTGCCACCGCCCACAAATTCATATATAAGTAACTGTAAGGATGGTGTCCAATAATAACCCTCAAGGGTGACAAGATTGTGGTGACGGACTTTTCCCAATTTCCTAACTTCCCTCTCAAAGTCTTCCTGAGATTTAACAAGACTGGAGACCGTAAGCTTCTTAATGGCCACAGAATGCCCATCTCCAAGGACGGTGTGGTACACTGCTCCAAAACCACCTCGCCCGAGTTCACAATCCTTGTTAAGCAGAGCATGTGCCCCTGTGCTGAAGTCAGGATCACCTGAAAACATGACAAGCTTACCGGAATTTGCATCCGTAGATGGAGAACGGCTAAAATCATCTCCACCAGAAAACGTAAGGGCTGCAGCAGCAGAGTGCGATGTTGTGGACCGGACACGAATATTGAGCACGGTAATGGCAATCACGCCAACGAAAATAACAGCAGCTGCACCAATGGCAATGAGGGCAGAGATGCTTAGGATTTTCTTCTCATGGTGAAAACTCTGAGGGACAGTGCTGGGAGTAGAATCAGTGGAGTTGGGATTAAGAACAATTGGCTTGGGCATGACGGTAGAGCAAGACCTATTGACAGCAGCCCCACATAGAGATGGGTTTGCTGACACAGAATAAGGAGAAATAGTATTAAAAAAACCATTAGAAGGTAGTTCTCCCTGTAGCTGGTTGTGTGAAATGTTGAATGACAAGAGATGGCCAAGATTTCCAAGCTGCTTTGGTAAGGTTCCGGTTAATTTGTTAAAGGACAAGTCAACATTTTGAAGGTAGGTCAGGTTAGCAAGAGCTGCAGGTACAGGACCAGTTAGACTGTTATGTGATAGAGACCTGCCAATTTGGTTGAAACAAAACATTAACCAAGTGTAGCAAAAAGTTCATATTAAGGGAACATCCCTCGCAATACAAGCAACTAATATAAATTGCGGATCATAAAACCAATGAGAGCCGGGCAATATGATATTGTTGTTACTTTCATGCTTTTACTGACCTCAAAACATATTTGATGCACTCAAGCACATTCTACTAAATGTTATGCACCTAGCATTTAAAACAGAAGCCGGTAATATTTAATTTCATAGCAAGCTAACTCTACATGATCACTTATTTTTTCAACACTCAACATGATTACTAGAGCAAACAAATTTCAGCATCACATTGACTAAGAATACCAAGTATGGATTTGTGTTGGGTCTTGCCTCTACAGATTAACACAATAGTTCTGAATGCTAAAAACAATGCAAACACAAAGTTTTAAGGAACCTCAAGCAGAGAAAGATGATATCAAAAACGGCGAATTAATTTAAGAGTAAAGAGGATCAACAACTTACAAGGACACAAGTGAAGAACAACTGCCAATTGAACTAGGAATTTGTCCTGTAAAGGCGTTTTTCTCCAGTCTAAGTTCCCTGAGAGATGTGACTCCTCCAATTTCCGCAGGGACAGTACCATATAAGCCATTCTCACTCAAGTCAAGAGTATCCAACATCAATTGTCCAACAGTCTTAGGAATGGTGCCTGCAAGTGAATTTATAGACAAATTCAAGGACTGAAACTACTAAACTAACCAAAAGCTAATGAAATTTCACCATATAACTCATTGGTAGACATATTTTTACGAGTGATGAAACAAAAGCATTACTTATATCGCCAAATAAATTATTCGCAAAAAACGTAACTGCTGTGATGTAATCCTGAATTTAAAAGCCCAGGAAGGAAAATTACCCGTCAAATTGTTATGACTAACATCCAATATCAGAAGGTTAACACAACTGCTAATGGACTCCGGTAAGCTTCCAGAAATCACATTCTGTGACACGTTTAGTACTTTCAGCGACTCAAGTTTTTCTACTGAAGTTGGTATGTTAGCAGAGAAGCTGTTCTCAGAAAAATCAAGAATCTCAAGACTTTTCATTTCTCCAATCCATTCTGGTATCACGCCACTAAAAGCATTACGTCTCAAAACGACTTCCTTACACAAGCTAAGCTTCTGCATTGTGCTTGGGAGCTCTCCAGAGAAAGAATTTCCACTCAAATCAATTGACCTCAAAAGCCAACAACCTCCAATTACATCTGGAATTTCACCCTTGAAATGATTTCCCCCCAAGTTTATTGCTCTCAAATTACTCAAACCTTCAATGCCAGCTGGAATTTCACCGTCCAACAAATTATTCGACAGATCAAGAGACCTTAGTCCATTCAAAGACCAAATTCCAGAAGGCACCAGCCCCGAAAACTGATTTGACGATAAATTAAGTGACGCAAGCGTCGCACAAGACCTCAAACTCTCTGGTATTTCACCTGAAAATTTGTTCTTGGCTAGAGAAATTGATTTCAACGGCCCGCATTTTTCAAAATAATCACCAGGAATGGGACCAGATAAGCTGTTCTCACTCAAATCAAGAATCTTGAGATTTGCAAGCTGAGAAAGACTAAAAATACTAATGCTTCCAGTAAGATTGTTGTTTGCTAACGAAAGCTTGTGAAGAAACTGCAAGCGTAAAAGGCCTCTGCTTATCCTCCCTGAAAGTCCAAACCCGTCAAGAACAACATCAGAAACCCTGTTGGATCTTGGGTTGCAATTTATTCCGTTCCAGTTACAAGGACTATCATCCTCTTCATTCCAAGATTTCAGTTTTCCATCTGGATCTTGAACGTCCGATTTGAACACAATTAGTCCCAGTACATCATCATTCATAGATGGGTTCAATGCTCTCACAGAAATAGCAGCTAAAAGACAAAAAATTACGATAACAAACAGCTTTCTCATTTTCAATCTACGTACTGCTAATATTGCCATTAGCAAGATTCTAAGGTATAGAGACCAAGTACGAGGTCAGCTTAAAAAAATGTTGTAGGAAAATAAAGAAGCTGCCTCGGCGTCCCTACAACGTGTGGTTTGCTAAGCAAAACAAACTTCCAAAACAGGAGCTGAAATGACCCGTCAAGACTAAAGATGAAACCTTTGGGTCCAGCGGCTAAAAATGCAATCCAAACAGTTCCTAAAAGTAAGACCCAAAACCCTAAAATTCTACGAATCTGCTAAAAGAGTAAACTTTAAGGAACCAAAAAACCAGAAAAGATAGGGCGAAAAAAAGTCCAATGAGAGCTAAAAACTTGGCTAAAATAGGAAGGAACTCAAAGCAGTTAGACCTTAACAGCAGAAAAATGTGAGTTGAGAATTTGCCGGGAAAGAAACCACCGGCGGCGGAAAAGTGTGCTCTGACCTTAAAAGAATTTAACAGAAAAGCCGCCGGAGGGATAATGAGATTTTCCGGCGACGGCGAGTCAGTAAAGTATTTAAGACTCTCTCTCTCTTTACTGTCTGAGTGGGATACAGAGAGTCTTTATTAACGGGAAAAAGAAGAACAGGGAGGGATGTGTCTTTACTATATTCGACACGTGGCATTATATAGTAGGTTATTCCAGTCTGATGTGGATTTCCACGTAGTCTTTGTCAGGAGAGACTAACCAGTAGTAATGCTTGAAATTTTAGAAAGCGTTTATTAAAAAATAAAACACGGCAAAAATTAATAAGGTGGCCCACCTTAATTAACTAAAGGAATTCACTAAAATTGAAGTAATAAATAAAGTGGGTAATTTAATTGCAGCACCCCACCACCCACTGGTCACTGCGAAGGGAAGAAGCAATAAACACTTGTTTTTATTTATTTATTATTATTATTTTGAAGTAAATCCATTTTGTTCAATATAATTATGATGCACGTAAAAATTGTGCGCAATGAAATTTTGTAAAGTCAAAGAAATGAATGTGCTTGATGTAAAATTGTTCTAGAGTCATCTCATGCAATACCTCCTCATTTATACACAACAAATGTACTCACTACACTATTGGAACTTTACGGTTTTATAACATTTTCTCCACTTATTATACAAAGAAAAAATCGAATTGGATGACATATATGTCATATTTTCACAATAGAAACATTAATGATAATAAGAAGAAAGAGAAGTAGAGATGTCGAGATATTGCTTAATGGAGGAGAAAATATGCACGCACATGATGTTTATACCAAATTAGTGGAGTTAGTCGGGGGAAGGGAATATTGTAAAAAAAACAGTGTCAGTGTGCAAATAATGTGAACATAAAATGTTCTAAATAAATATAAGTTGTTGAATTTTTCTAACGTAAAAGAAAAAAAAATATTAAAATAATAATAAATGGGGTTCAAAAGTTGATTTAAGTCATAAATCCAAATTTCAATTATGTCTATCTAGTATTTTTTTTCTTTCAAATATAACTTTTTAACACCGTCACTAACATACATGGAACAAATATTGTGCAAAAAGTGGACATTTAGGACCGTTTGTCCATGAAATATTACAAGTTTTTGAAGAAAAAAAATCGAAAATGAGGTTTTCAGACAATCACTTTTTCGAAATAAAAAAAAAATTCTCACTCGCTCACAAAACTGCAACATTTTTTCCACTAAATTATATGTCCAAACATAATAGTATTATTTTCTAACTAAACTCCAAACATTATTTTTTTCAAAAATTACTATTTTTATGTCCAGCGCCTGCTTAAGGTGAAAGTGAAAGGAGGAAAGGTAGTTGGAGAAGAGAGAAGGGAGAAGGTGAGTGTAATAAAGAGTAGTAGTAAATGTGTAACATCCGGTTGGTACGCCTCAGATTTTGCAGGACACTCTCCTCTATTTATCGCTTCCTTCAATTCCACTGAAAGCTTGCTCCAACCATAAAGATGACCCCTCTGCCACCCTATTCAACACGCTAACATATTTTAAGAAACGTTATAATCTCCATATCCATAAATAGTGTACTTTATTTATTTGCCAATTATAATATTTTTCACATTGTATACAAGCATGCAAAAGATTTTTTATTTTATTCTTTATAACGTTGGTATTTTGATGCAGTTACCCATCCTTTCGAGAGGTCTTTCTTCAATCTCTACTATTTTACCGCTCAAGATTAATGTTTAATCCTGAAGATGCTCCAGAAACATTTCGATTGTTCATTCATAAAAGAACTGTTGTACGCCCTGGATACTCTTTTTTTTTTTTTGGTGACATTGGTGCCCAAGTTGTACCATATTACTGTAACGACCCGATCGGTCGTTTTGAGCTATAGCGCGTCTTTCAGCAGTTTGAGGTCATGAACAACTTCACTTCAGGTATTATGACTTGTACGCATGGTCGGAATTGAATTTCGGGAAGTTCGGAGTTGATTTGAAAAGAGAATTCTCATTTCGGAAGCTTTAAGTTGAAAGAATTGACTAAGATTGGATTTTTGAGTAAACGACCTCGGAATCGGGATTCGAAGGTTCTAACAGGTTCGTATGATGATTTCGGACTTGGGTGTATGTCCGGATCGGGTTTTGGAAGACCCGGGAACGTTTCATCACTTATTGTGAAAGTTAGCATTTTTGGAAGAATTTCATGAGTTTGGGTTGAAGTACATTTCAGTGTTATCAATGTCCGTTTGGGATTCCGAGTCTGGGAATAGATCCATATGGTAATTCTGGTGTTGGGAGCGCGATCGGAAGTGAATTTGGAGGTCCGTGGGCCATTTTGGAGTCATTTGGCTAAAGATAGAAATTTGAAGGTTTTTGAGGAGTTTGAGCGGAAGTGGACTTTTTGATATCGGGGTCAGAATCCAATTCCGAAAGTTGGAGTACGTCCATAATGTCGAATGTGACTTGTGTGCAAAATTTGATGTCAATCGGACGTGGTTTGATAGGTTTCGGCATCGAATGTAAAAATTGGAATTTCTTAGTTTCATTAGACTCGAATTGGGGTGTGATTCGTGTTTTTCGCGTTGTTTGATGTGACTTGAGGCCTCGACTAAGTCCGTGATACATTTTGAGACTTGTTGGTATGTTCGAACGGGGACCCGAGGGGCTCGGGTGAGCATAAGCATGTAATGATCCAAAAGTCCATTTTTAGTTCTAGAGATCGAAATTTGATTTCGAAACTTCCGGAATTTCGATAATGAATTATAGGAGTGATCTGGAAAATTTGGTCTAATCTCATCAAGTCGCGATTGGGTTTTTGACACGAATCCTGAGTTAATTATTTAACGAGCGAAATGGGTATCGCACTAAGCAAATGAGCTCCAAATTGAGTTTTGATTGAAGGACTATGTTCGTATTATTATTTGTGACTCATAGGAACAAGAATCATCGAATTCCGAGTTCGTATAATAGAGTTAGAGCCTTTTTAGTGAAATTAAAGGCTGCTGGTGCATCAGATCTGGTGTGCACCTTTAGCGACCAGATTGGACCACTTTTAGCGACCAAAAATGGCTTTCAGCGACTAGAATCGGGTTTATTAATGCTGTTCTGTTTTTTTTAGCTCATTTTGACATTTTTTTTGGGTGAAAGAACACGGCTTGGGGCTATTTTTGAGCAAGAAATCATGGAAAATCTTGAGGTAAGCCACTTGTGATCATTTTTACTCCATAATATTGAATTTTCATCGAATAATCCGACTAGATTACATATTTTTGAGGTGTAAATTGGGGATTTGGACCTAGGGATTTGAAAATAAGATTTGAAGATTTGGAGGCCGAATTGTTATCGAAATTTAGTAATTTTGGTATGGCTGGACTCGTGGTTGAATGGGTTGTCGGATTTTGTGAGTTTCATCGGATTCCAAAGCGTGGGCATGGGGCCGGGTTTGAGCCAAATTCGGGATTGTTGGTCTAATTTGATAATTTTCATAGGGAATTCATTCATTTAGCATATATTGATGATAATATACTGATTTTGGTTAGATTCGGAGCATTTGGAGGCCGAGTCGAGCAGCGAGGGCATTACGGAGTAGAATTTCATCCGGATTGAGGTATGTAATGATTGTAAATGTCGTCCTGAGGGTATGAAACCCCGGATTTCATATCGTTATGCTACTTTGAGGTGACGCACACGTTAGACGACGAGCATGGGGTCCTGCACCGTTGGGGATTGTGACTTGGTCCATCCCGTACGACTATTAAGTCGCGTATTTGATTGAAAACTATTTGATATCATTGTATCTTGGAAAGTATTACTATATTTTGGGCGGAATGCCATATTTGGGCCTAGTGCCAACTATTTGGACCATTTAGGGGCTTTTACTACTATTCCTCACTGTTTTGACTTAATATGTGTACTCAGTCATGCTGTATTTTACTGATTTCATAACTCAGCCGTATTTACTCCGTTTTGATACTTTAAATGATATTTTGGGCTGAACACCTGTTTTTACTGTTAGCCCGAGTGGCTTGAGAGGTTTTCTGACTGAGTCAGGCCGATGGCCTGTGTTGTGAGGATATTATGGGGGCGGGCTGCACGCCGCATCAAGTTGTTACTGATTCATGATATATGTGAGGCCGAGGGCCTAACTGATTTATGCCACGAGGTGGCTTGTGATTATGTGAGGCTGAAGGCCTAATTGATTATGCCATGAGATGGCTTGTTATAGCGCTTGGGCTGTAGGAGCCCCTCCAGGAGTCTACACACCCCCAGTGAGCGCAGGCATGTGATAGCACGTGAGTTGTCCGTGCAGATTGTAGCGCTTGGGCTGTAGGAGTTCCTCCGGTGTCTATATACCCCCAGTGAGTGCGGGTACCTAGTGTGAGTGATGTGATGTAGCCCGAGGTACTGTTCTTAATCCATGTTTTATGCGAGGGGCGATTCCTAATCCATGTTTTGCCCGAGGGGCGGTTCTTGATTCATGTTATGCCCGAGGGGCTGATTACGAGTGATTGCGAGGTAGCCCGAGGGGCTGGTTCTGTTGATATTTTGCCCGAGGGCGGTTTATGGTACATGTTTTTGCCCGAGGGACTGTTACGTTTCTATCATTTTTACTCACCATTTTATCACTCGTTTGAAACTATTGAAAGTTGTTTTAAAAGGTTTAACTGAAACTGAGCTTGATTTACGAAGTAAATGATTTATGTACTATTTTGGAAATGTACTGCATTTGATGTAGTGTTATGACGTGGTTTATGTGTTTTCTTACTGCTTAGCTTTCATTTACTTTTATTACTTACTGAGTTGGCGTACTCACATTACTCCCTGCACTTTGTGTGCAGATTCAGGTATTTTTGAACCCGGTAGGGGGTGTTGATTGCTCAGTGGCAGAGTCATCGGAGTTAGCAAGGTAGCTGCCCGACGTTCGCAGCCGTGCTCTTCTCCCTCTTGTCTTCCTTAGACTATTTTTAGTATATTTTCAGACTCTTCGTTGTATTCAGACCTTAGTAGATGCTCGTGACTTGTGACATCCCGATGTCGGGCTTGTGTATTTATTCCGCGCTGGTTATTTAGACTTATACAATGAGATTTCTTATTACCTAATGGCTTAAAATGACTTTTATAGAATAATGATT